AATAATTGTAAAGTCCTATCAAATCCTATGAAAACAAGCCTTATATCTTTAAAATAAGCTTGAAGCTAGCTCACAAATTCTAATTGCCAATCTTCAAATGCCTCTCTATTTTGCCGTAGGCGGCTATTTTAATGACTAGAGGTCTAATTTCAACCCTATCTAATAAATGGTCGACCCTTCAATATCAATCCAACCTATCCTAGGAATGTTTTAATCCAATCCTACCTTCAACTTTATCCTAGTATCAACCATACTAAATATTTATCTCTTCTATCCTATTTTTACTAATTTATGGCCTTTCTAAGGTACTAAAAGAAATTCTATAATATAAAATTATTAACCAACCTTTAATCTATCAGCTATTAATATAAGAAAATAAATTTAGGAGCTTTTATAAAAGCCATGTTTAAATATCTTAAATTACTATTGAACCAAGATAATTAAATATTAATTAAAATTTTATTTTTTCTTATATTTTCACCATATGGTTGTATTATAATACAACAATGTGACTAGCCACCATCCAAATGACTTTATTTCTTATTGAATGTAAAAAAATTAATACCAATGTACATAATTTGCTACCATCTAGTTATAAAATAATAGTGGTAGGTGGAACTATCTTACTAAAAAATAAGTCTTTTGAGAGAAAAAATTGCCTCATATTAGCAATCAATTCAAGACTATAGGTTAAATTACTACAACATAAAATTTATTTTATTGAGCGATTGATGAAAATTCTTCTTCATATCTCTAGCTTTATAAAAATATCAAAAGAAAGTGATGGCATCATGCTAAATAAAGTTGGCTATATAGAATATACAACACCATATTACTTTAAAAATAAATATGAACATTGATTTATTTTCAAAAAAATTATAGAAGCATGCACTTTGAAAATATATTTTATTAGGAAAAGTGTGAATAAAGTCTCTTATAATAAGAAGCTAACATAAAGAATTTCTATATTAGCTTCTTATTATATTTGAAGGTAATTTGACTAATTGATTAAGTTGTGATAAAGATATTTTAAAGCTAAAAAGATGACTTATAAAATAGGAAGAAGAAAACTATGTCCAATTATTCTTACAAATAACAATTTTTAATTTAAAAGTGTAACAAAGTCATTTGGATGGTGGCTAGTCACATTGTTGTATTATAATATAATTATGTTATATTATGATATTAAAGAAACAATGTTATATTATGAAAAATATATTGTCAATAAATTATTATCAAATATGGATTTTATTTAAAATTGAATGTGATGCAATTCTAAAACAATGTTAGAATTTTGGTATCAATTTATTCAAAATTTATCAGACACAATAAATTGATGGTTTAAGGCCTTCTAGAGAAGTGTAATAATTCAAATGGATATAATGAAAAAATGGATAGAACTTCTATACTTGGCAATGCAATCAAATATCTTAATGAGCTCTTTTAAAATATAAATAACATTCACAATAAGCTCGATATAGTGAAATATGAGTAGTGAATATTTTGTATCTTGCAAGATATGATCAACTACAAAAAAATTAAGGATGCATTAGAAAACAACCAATATAAACAAAATCAAACCTTTAGAATAAAATTGAACTCACATTTATTATTTTGAAGTAGTTTATATAATGGAGAGCCTTTAGTTCAAGTTTAAAAGACTAACTTTTGTACAGAAGGCTATCAAGAACTAAAAAAGATTTTTACACCTCTTATAAATCTTTAAAAAAGATAAAGTAATTTAAATTATATATTTAATTATATTATATATAAAGAAGCCTATAAAAATCATACTTCCAAAAATACAAATATAATAAGTTCAATCCAATCTCCAAAGTTTAAATCTTATGAATGCTTAGATACTGTAACTAAAAAAGAATACTCCTCAACACTTGGTATTGCATAGCAAGAACACATTAGAGATGTCAAAAGAAGGAAAAGGCATATTGAAGATATTGATATAAAAAAGAGAGGTTGAATCTATAGGAAGAAGAAGCCTCTCACCTCCTGCTCTAAGTCCTTATCTGAAGACTAATATTTGAAGCTAATCACATTACTTTAAGACTAAATAATAAGCTTGCTATTTGTATATATATTTGTCATAATCCAGATAATAATTTGGATAAGTGAAGCAATTAATTTTAAAAAGATATTATTTATTGTGTCTTGAAGCTTGGTGTAAAATATGTATCTCTTGAAGATTTATTTTTCAATATCAATGTACTTAGGAATTTCAATACTTTTGGAATAGAATTTATAGTGATGACTCACATAGTTTGAAGTTATATAGCTCAATATTAATAATTTATGTGACCCTTGGTATGAATTTATTTTTAATCAAGATCTAACTACATAAATTATAAGACTTTTATTTAAAGACTACAAAAGTTGTGGTAGTAGTGGCTTATTTCTTAATATTTATCAAGTACAAATCAAATTCTATAAAAAGAGATATTTAATAATATTTATTTAAAGAATATAGGTAAGCCATATTTGAGGTGTAAACATAAATTTATTTCTAATGAAATCAATTAATTATTCAAGCTGAATATTAAGTATATTATTTATCTTTTGTTTGGATATGTTACTATCTTAATCAAACTTTCACTCTTATTACAATAAATAACTTATGATTTAATCTTTGGTAGTAGGAGAGTAATCAAAAGACTCAAATCAAAATATTATTTCATTAACTCTTTGTTTTTAGGTAGCCTAATAATAAAGCTTAGTTTTTGTTTCAATAATTCCATTTTAAGTCATGGTTTTTGATAAAGACTTGGATGTTCATTGCTTTATCATGGAAAAAAGTGGTATAATATATAAAAATAATATAAAATATTAAGAGAATTTAGATTATAATTAAATATATATAATATAATATAATATAATAATATATATATATATTTTTAAGTTAATAATTTAAGTTTTATAATTAAAGATAAAAAAATTATAGGATTTATAAATAAAGAGTTTAGAGGAGCTTTGGTGTCAAGGATATAATATTTTGACTTCTGAGCCATCTGTCAAGGACTTGAAGTTCGAAGAAAGAAATCCTTAATATACTCTTGTTTCACTCAAAAAAATTAAAAAATCACTCAAAGATGATATAATATTAAACTAAAATGGCTATTGCCAAAGATAAGAAGACTAGAAAGTCTTAAAAGAAGACTAAGGATTAGAAATACATTGATAAGACTAAAGAAGGCTTTACTCTTGCCTCCATATATACTCTTAATTAAGAACTACATGGCAGTGTCCTATAGGACCTCCAAAATGTGTTGACTTTGTAAGACACATATCTTAACTCGCAAGGTAAGTTTTCTATATATGCGCCACATAGTTAGCTTGTTTCATAAGCTATCAATATGTAGTTAACTTTTTGATCAAGTTTCTAACCTATTGATCAACTATACATACATGTAAAGTCAAAGCAATGTCTATGAAGCTTCTAAAAAGCTTTTCTAAAAAATATTATGAAATAAATTTATTTTTTATAATATTTTTTAGTGGAATTTGAGGTCACTTCGATTTTACCATTTGAAGTTCAAAAATTAGGGATTATTAGCTTGTGTTGAGAATTACAATTTTTTTACAAAAACCAAGGAATTCAAAGTTTTTATGAGGGAAAAATGGACACTTGGAGTTAGGATCTTGAAATTATACATATTACCACCATTTTTGCAAATACAAGGAATTATGCAAGAGGATTTGGAGATTGAAAAGTGAGACTCTAAAATTGATTTAAAAAATTATATTTTATATAAAAAAATAAATAAATTCTAATTAAGAATAAAATAGAAAGAATCGTTTGAAGTTAATGCTTCAAAATTAAAGTTTGTAAGTGAGTGCTTTTCATAGAGGTTTTGGTTTGGACCATATCTTGAGTTTTTGGATGAATTTTTGACTCAAAGTTTCCATAAGTATAGATGATTATGCTAAGAAGTTGTATCTAAAGTTTTATGATATTTAAATATTGGACTTTTGAAATATAGTAGATTTAGTACACAAGTGTCTAAAAATTGACATATTTAGTATTTTTTAGAAATTAAGTGATATTTGAAGATCTGTAATGAATCTATAGTTTTTATTTTTTTTGGAAGTAATTAAGGATACACAATAGCTCTCTTGGGCTATGTATGTCTATTTAATTACAAAAAAAAACCATATTTGATTAGTAAATGTCCTTACCAGATGCCTTGTTCTTTATGAAGAATTTTGAAAATATAAAAAACCTTGAATATTTGTAGTTGCAACACATTATTTTATTTATAAAATATGCAATTTGCTTAGATTGTATACTTATTGCAGTTTTTCCTAGTGAAAAGGAAGATTTTTCTACTCTTTATGTTGTCTAATTATTTTTTAGATATATTATTTGAGATATACATAGCAGCTTATTGCTTGTGAAGTATCGATTCTTAATAGCACTAAATTAATGTAAATGCAAGGAATTCTTGGATTGTCTACATTCAATTGTCAATTCAAGTTTTTGTCTTTTCCTTGTGAAGACTTGCTACGTTCAAGCTATTCCCATTGATAGATTTAATTAAGCAATATATTAAAACTATAAATTATTTTTTCATATACTTGCAACCAAAATCTTGATTTTAATGATTATCTTAATACAAAAAATAATCATTTATATTAAAATTAAATTATTTTTTATTAAAAAATCAAGTTTATATTTTTAAATATTACCATTATAAAAAAATTAAAAACATAAATTTAAGTATACTTTTAAAAGACTATGTTTCAAACTAAAATAAAAAAGAAAAGAAAGAAGATCAAGAAGAAATTAATTAACATAGTAAGAAGTTAATAGAATGATTATTTTTAAATACAAAGAATTAAAAGATAATAAACCAAGACTAAAATACGAAATAGACATTAAAATATTAAAGACAGTCTCAGTCCAGCATCCACGTATACTAGCTAATAAAGAAAACATGTACCGCTTGCTTCATAAATACTATGAAGCAAGCGGGTGTCAAAGTTGCAAATGTTTCAAATTTGGCTTCTTTAAAAATGAAAAACAACTTCTTAAAATAAATACTATAGCTACATAGGGCTCCTGCAGATTAAATCAGCATCTATAAAACTTCTTTAGCATGTTTTTTTTTATTCAAAAAAAAAGGGGGCTTTTCAAATCGGCAAATTCCAACACAAAAAGTTAAAAAGACTAGTGGAGAGAGAGCCTAATCAAGCCCACAAGCCAATGCTAGACATGGCACCGACACCGAAGAAGAGAAAAACAAAACCATAGACTTGCAGTTGTTTGCTGCTCTGCATTCGTTTGCTGAGAAAATCAGCTGCGATGAAGTCCACCAACGCCATATAAGCCAGGATGCCAGCTGATATGGCGTCAAACATACCCGTGAAGATCAAAGAAGTTGCACTGTTCTCATTGTAAGATGCTGTGATACCCAGCCCTATTGCAATGCCCAACGAAGTCGTGATTGCAAAGCCGAAGCCCATGAAGGCGGTAGTATAAATAAAAAACAAGGGTTGGAAGTGGGATTTAGTAACAATGGAGAAAGGAACAGTGCATGACTCGTGGCATACAATTCAGGTTTGCCTATGATAGATGTCAATGTTTGGGAAGATTAGATGCGGTTTGCAAAATTTATTGTGAGTACCTTAGCGACGCATCCTCCCAGGGCAACGCCTTCGAAGAACTGATGGAAAGTGAGGGCGGCAAACACAGGTTTTATAGTGCAGGGGCTATTTGACACTCCCACTGAAATTCCAACAGTAATGGAGTGAGCCGCAACACCAAGCTCGAACACCTGAAAAATGGTTGATGAGCACACGTTGATGCGAGCTTCTGATAAAATGTTGTTGCTTCATTTATTAAGAAGGACCCACGCTTCCAACACTTGAATTAAAATCTGGCACATTCCGCTGTTACCTTAATGATATGCAACGCAGAATTCTTACTTGAGCTGTAACAAGATGCCTGGCATGCAAGAACATGCTGTCATTAACGTCATCGACGTGAGTTTCACCAAGCGCCCCCTTCTTGCCCGTCATATCATCGACTTTCTCCGTCTCCGATTTGATAGGATGATGATTGAGATGATCCATATGGAACGTTGTTGCGGCGAAATCTACTACCAGTGTCCCTAGTGCACCTAACATGGCAATAAATCCTCCCCACGGGAATTTCCCCCCTAGGATTCTGAGGTAGACATGGGCTTGCGAAATCGTTCTGCGCAGTTGGTAGCATGTGAATGAAGGCAGTTGCCAAGATCACTCCCCCAGCAAATACTTTCATCATCCAGAACGGGTTCCCTCTCAAGTTGAGGAAACGAAACCGCCTGCTGGAGACAGGAATGTAGAAGCCTAGGAAACTCGTCAAGAATATCACTATAATCGCCACGGTCTTCAGTCTCGTCGCGGCTGCTTTGTCAAGGCATTCGCCCTCGAGGCCAGGACCTTCGCAGCTGATCTCATCTCCAGCAACATGTCGCCCAACTACTTCCACAACTGCTCCCACAAGTAATCTCTCCATTTTGATATCCAGCCCTTTTCTTCTAAGAATGAAAACCGCAACCCAACTGAAAAACTTGTGGATCCCGGGACTGAAAAACTCGCACAACGCTTCACGGAACTAGAAATGACAGAAGCAACATGCAGCGCATTACAACACACTAACCTCTCGATATAACCCACAACGATCAAAAAACCAACACAGGCATGTAGAGAACACCCACCAGCACAGACTCGAATTCCACTAGCAGGGGGGGCGTTGCAGGGACCTCACAGAACTCTGCACAACTCCTCCGTCGCTACCGTCGCAGCGCACCCTCGGTGTCAAATTCGTTAGCGCACACAAACCTGGAACCTTACCCCTGCCCCGAATCACGAGGACCCATGTCTTCACGAACGGCATCATACCCTGCGTCATACCCCTGAAGCTGATTCCTCAATCTACAGCCAACTCCTCCGATAATCCTTGAGGCGAGGTGGCCCACACCTATGAAGAAACGACATCGGTGCCTCCGTCTCTTTCATTGCAATGCTGCAATGACGTAAGGCGCTAACTCTTCTGACAGGATCTGAGTTGCCCCTCCAACCCACTTTCCTACTTATGTGCATTCGAATGCCTTTTCTTCCTATTGTGAGGTCGCCCATTCGGGGAATGTCAATAGCTTGCTTTATCTGGTCAAAGCTTTGGAGGAAACGATGTTTGACAAAAGGAGAGGAGAATTTTACCTTGGGTTGCTTGTACCTTAGGGTTCACTTCATAGCAAAGTCAATTGTTTGAATTAATGTTTGAAGATCATCAGTTTTTTTTACCTCATATTTCAATTCATAAAGAAATTGGGTAATGCGTGTAGTATCAATGTCATATCAATCACTTCATATCAATCACAAGTTGTCAAAATTGTGAAGTATGTAATGTCAGTGATTGATGGTCTTGTCACAAAATATGGATCACAAAATATGGTTTAATACTACACATAGAAGATGCAGATTGAATAGTTAGATGAGTTGTGTTAATACATCCAAAATAATTCTATTTCTTAGGATTGCCCATGGATACAGATATTAACTTTTTGTGATGGAATATTCAATCCTTAGACCAATTGATATAATTGATTCATCTCATACCTTGTGTTATGTGGATAATGATTTAAGTATGTATTGATTGTTTGGATATGGAAGAAATTTATTTAAAGTTTAAAATTCTTTTTATAATAATAAAAAAAAATGTTTAGTATCTTAATTAGAATCTTCTTGACAATCTTAATCCTCTTTAAATATTTTATAGTCAAATAATATCAAACTTTACTAATCTTAAATATCAAGCCATGTTAATCTTAAATGTCAAGCCATATCAATCTTAAACAAATCTTTAAAAAATCCTAAACAACCTCTAAACAAATCTTAAATAAATTTTTAAAAACTCCTAATATATTTTATATATATTTAATATAGCTCTAAAAGTAATCTTAAAAAAAATCTAAACAAATCCTTTAAGAATCTTTTAAAATTTTATAATTATCTAAAAAAAACTTATTAAATTTTAAAACATTAGAAAATATACTAAAAAGATTGGAAGAAGATGGAATTTAATCTTGGAAGAAAATTAATTAAGGGCATTAAATATAGACTTAAAAGTCGTAGGCTCTTCTCTCAAATATAATAAAGGAAATAAGTATATCTTATTATTTGAAGAGATTATCTTAATTTTATTAAAATTATTAAATAAAGCTATTAATAATTATTTTATTATTTTATTAAAATATTGGTCTATTTATTATTTTCTAAAATATATTTTTTAATGAATTTTCTTCTTTTTGAAGCTTGTGGTTCTTTGTTTGATTGGACATGGAAATGCCCAAATTGATGCAATATTTATAATATTTATTTTGTTATAGAGATGGTAAAAAGCTAAAGAATTAAAGCATTTTTTTTAATACATATTTTATTTTGATTCTATAAAAAATAAAAAAATAAATTATTGTTAAAATTTATATTTTTTTATATTTAATTTTTTTTCTAGATCCTCTATTCAAATATTATACCTCTCCTTGGAAATTTCTAAGTACAATTTCTTTCTACTATATATCTCATGTGTTCTTTAAGTATCATGTTTTCGATAAAATTATCTATTTGTATTATAAGTATAAATAATCCAACTATTACTTCTACTTTTAATTGCATGCCTTTATTTTATATAAATTATTTTCCTTAATTGCCTCAATTACAAATACATTATCTAATGGCATCTTCTACAATTGAGCTTCTTCTTGAGGTCCAATATCCTTGCTTCTTGTTATGTTTTGCAATAAAGATGATATGATAAAATAATTTTATCATTGTGTTTTCTATTTTTTTATATTAAAGAATTAAAAAAAATTCAACTAAAAAAATTTATGAAGAAAAAATTACGAAATAAAAATTCATACTAAAAGATAATAAAATATTTATTTTAAATACTAAAATAATTCAAAAAGATTGTATATCTAAAAAAAATTATAAATAAATTCTCTACTTCATAAAAGAATTATCTAAAACTATTATTATTATTATTATTATTATCTTTTAGAATTAATAAATTATATATATATATATATATATATACATTTCATCTAAAATTGATTAAGATGTCAATTTTAATTTTTGATTTAATTTTACTGAAATTTTACAAAAAAAATAGTTAAGATCATATCTTAGAAGATGTTGTTAGAATATTTTATTCATAAATATTGTGAGATTTTATTTTTCATTCTTTTTCATTTTTTTGGATTTTTCTTAGAGACTTACAAGAATTTTATGTTTACAACATATTTATATATGTTGAAATCGTTAAAGAAAAAATTGCACAAATCAAAAAACTGAAAGAATCATTAAATTTCATCATAGTGCATGGAATATAGAAAATTTTATAAAGAATTGTGGCATTTGACAACTTTTATTTTTATTATTTTAATTACTACTGACGCAGACTGACGTGGACGCCACTCCGACGGCCGCGACGTCTGTCGACGGCGGCAACGCGGCCCGCAAAGCAGCTCATCGCAGTGTGTGTGTATGTGTGTCTACATGAGTGAGTGAGTGAGTGTATGAGTGTGTGTTGGTCTCCTTCGGATTCGACGCACCCTCTTCGACAAACAAGGCATCGATCGTTCTCACTCAGATACCGCTTCTTCTTCTTCGTCTTTCCTCTGTTGTTGCTGTTGTTTTTTTTGTCGTTGTTTCGGTACATGCTCCACCCCGGCTCATCCCTTTCGTTGGTGGGTTTCTGCTTGCACAGTTCAGTCCATGAGCAAAAGCACCTGATTAGGGTTTCAGATTGGGGTCTGTTTCACAGCTGATACCTCGCCTTCGAAGACCCGAAGCAACAGATCCAACATTGAGGAACTACTCTTGAATGTAGTGTATCTCTGGTTGCTTTCAGCATTTGCTTCATCGTGTTTTGGGTTTTGAAAGAAGCCGGGACCAATGGCGCGTTACGACAGAGCAATCACGGTCTTCTCTCCTGATGGGCATCTCTTCCAAGTGGAGTATGCATTGGAAGCAGTCCGGAAGGGGAACGCAGCAGTTGGGGTGCGGGGCACGGATACTATAGTTCTGGGCGTGGAGAAGAAATCCACTGCCAAGTTGCAAGATGCTCGGTAAAGCCATTTCTGTTTCCCGTGTCTCGGAATTGTTCGCATGGTTATGGGTGCATTGTCTATGCCTCACAAGACCTAGCTGATGTTCTAGGGTTTGGAGCGGAGTCTCCCAGAATCGTTTGACTATGACTGCTTAATTTGGTTCGATTTTGTAGTGGATAACATGAATTTCAATATCAGTGTAGGGTGATGTGCTTTTGGATGGATCCTGTATTGATGTGAAGATGATCCTCAGTTCAATTTGCGGGGTTGGAAAGTGTCTGTTTTTTTGGGTGAATTAGGGGGGTGATCCCGTCTAGTAATGCATGCAATGAATATCGAGAATTTGAGATTTTCGATATCTCAAGTGATTCCGTTAAATTTTTTTAGGTCATGCTCTAACGGTTTTTTGTTTAGGTCATGTGTGTGGTGGATTAGGACATCATAATAGAGATCAATGCTCAATTTCTCTTGAGCAATTTGATTCACTCAATTTTTTCACCTGTCTGCAGTACCGTTCGCAAGATTTTGAAGCTTGACGAGCATGTGTCGCTTGCCTTCGCTGGATTGACTGCTGACGCACGTGTGCTTGTCAATCGTGCTCGAATTGAGTGTCAAAGTCATCGTCTTACAGTAGAAGATCCTGTGACTGTGGAATACATCACTCGCTTTATTGCGGGTTTGCAGCAAAAGTATACTCAGAGTGGTGGAGTGCGCCCTTTCGGTATTTCCACACTGATCGTAGGATTCGATCCTTACACAGGCGTTCCTTCCCTTTACCAAACCGATCCCTCAGGAACCTTCTCAGCTTGGAAAGCTAATGCTACAGGTCGTAATTCAAATTCGGTCCGTGAATTTCTGGAGAAGAATTATACTGAGACATCAGGTGCTGAAACTGTCAAACTAGCTGTACGAGCACTTCTCGAGGTGAGTGACAACCCTTTTATTCTCGTATTGGCCATGTTTCTGTTTTTTTAGTAAGTCTTACCCCCACAAGTTATATTCGAGGTTGCTCATTATATACTGATAGTTGTGGTCGTGTAACTCATGTATTGGTTGGATTGTGGCAGGTAGTAGAGAGTGGTGGCAAAAACATCGAAATTGCAGTAATGACCAAGAACGAGGGTTTGCGGTTGCTAGATGAGGCAGAGGTTGAAGAGATTGTTTCTGGCATAGAAGCTGAAAAGGCTGCTGCCGAAGCAGCAAAGAAGGGTCCTCCTCGTGATCAGTAGGTGCCAGTTATGGGTCAACGCGATAGGGTAATCCCTTTTGGTGGCAAACATGTTCAAATTATCCGTTTTCAACTACTGTTGCAGATGTCTATCCATGTGAACTTGTAAAGCATGTTGTCATACCCCGATTCAGTAAGTTGAATACTGGCACGATTTTTGTAGCATGCAAATTCCTACACATGGTATAATGAGTCTGATCCTATCCATTCCAAACTTATTTATATTCGCTGCCTCGTGGGTTACACTGAACTATCACCCTGATAACCATTGTGGAGTGCAGTTCCTGATATTGTGAGAACACCATGTTAAAACTCTGAAGTGTGGATCTTCGTGTACTCGTAAATAGGGAGGGTGATTTTCTTTATGCTATAACTCGCCCTATCTGCTGCGGAATGGGTTAAAAAGTATAAATAGTGCATCTGGTAGGGGTTTGGCGTTTATTATTCCACCAATAGAACTTGGAAGCATAGGTCCTCGATGGATTCAGGTCAATTTCATCCTCAAATCACCTGATTTTCTCCTCCAATAATTGTAATTGTTATGGGTGATGTGATTTATGAAGTAACCTTGAAGTGTTCAACTAATGTAGAGGTCTTTATCCTTAGAAGTCTACTTTGAATAGTCATGGTACAAATGTCTTTCAAAATTTAACTTGTTTAATACATATAAACATAGAGAATAGCATTTGGATTTAGAAATAGTTAATACTTAGTAATTAATCGTTTAGTTGTCTTTTAAAGTTTTTAAAAACAAAAATAATCTTTAACTTATTATCTAGTTTTATATTATAATTTTTGAAAAAAATCAAATCATTAGATATGTATGTATATCTATATATCTGCAATGTACAACAATTTGAGCATAACAAAAGAATAATAAGATAGAATTTCACATACAAGTGTTCATAGAATCTACTTTGTATCACAGATGGTACCTAAAGTTGATACTTAATTGCAAAATTTGAGTATATATATATATTACAAAAATAATATTTAACATACAAAATTTCATTCAAAGCTTTAATATTTAATTTTAAAAAAAATAATTTTATTATAGATGTTATTTTAACAGTCTATGTAAGATTTTAAAGAAAAAATCTTGAATTAGATTTGATATTTTGTTAGCTTAACATTAAAAAATTTAAAAATTAGATAATAATTTGTTAAAACTGTATGAATTTTAAAGAATTATGCCATACATTCTATATTCTTAATATCCTTTAATTTATTCAATCTTTCTTTCTTAAAATTTTTGTAGTTGATAAATCTTTTGAAGCTACTTTAATGACATTATGTGTTTGACATAATCTTTAATTTTCTATAGATACACTAAATTTTATTCATAAAGAAATTGGTTATTAAACTTATAAATCTTTTATAAGACATTGGTTATGTATAATAATAGCTTTTATATTTATTTTACTAATATTATATCTTTTTAATATATTAACTATTCTAAATGTCTATATCTAAGCCATAAATTAAAGATTTTATCAAATTTATATTAGATTTTATTATTAACTAAATAAAAGTTGATGGTACATTGTATCTATTTCTTTTTATTTTAGAATAGGATTTTAAGATCAAAACATTAAAAAAGTAAATAAGTCACTAAATTTAAAATTTAAATTTAAGTTAATAACTAAATATATTGATTTAATAAAATTTATAAATAATCATTTTATTTTCTTTGATGTATTTTTTATTTAATATTACTATTAATTAACATTATAACTTAAGATTTAAATTTTATCTTAGAAAGTTAGTATTTCATATTATATGTTTATGTTTATATTATTTATTTATTTATTTTCTTACATTAATAATTTAAAATAAATTAGTCTAATTTTCATAAGATTATTTCAATCTTGGATATCTTTTCTTGGCATATTAGATGTTTTTACATAATAATTTTACTTAAATTAGTCAATAAAAATTACATTTATTGTTGTTTTCCTAATGAGCATTGAAATTGTTTTAAAATGATTTTGCAGCAACCAAAAACTTAAGTAACTTTTGATGGAGGATCTACAAGCTATGGAATACCCTTGACATTTCAAAAATTATTTCAATCAAAAGTTCTAAAATCCTATTAAAGATTTTTTATGATTATGAAGATCTACAAAAAGGGCCATAAGTATCTGAAAATTTCTTTAAACATTTAGATGGTTGAAACTATAATTATTTTTGTGTCTATAGTATTATTAATCTTTTTGATATTTTGTGATTAACTTTTAACAAAGAATATGATATATTGTTGCTGTATCACCAAATAGTTTATTCAAGATCTTTTATTTTATGCAAATAGGTAAGCTAAATCACAAATTGTGATTTTTTTACAAATTATAAATATGATGGATTTTTGAAAACCAATTTATATAACTAATTCTTACATTTATATTTTCTAAGCAACCACAACATTAAAAAAATTATGAAAAAATGAGAATTTTTAAATTTTTAAATTTATTGAATATCTCTCAATGATTTACCATATAATAAAATATATCAAAACAAATTAGAATCATTTTTTTTTTTTTTTTTTTTTTTTCAAAAATAAAACTTATTATGTTTTTTCAGAAAACTAATATTCAGAAAGGCATTGCTAACAACCCATGATCACATCCGTAGATTTTTAGACAAGAAATGCCTTGCCTGTTGTGATTTGTTTTATGTTTAAGCATATCCAGCCTCAACTTTTCTGTTAAATATTCTTAGAGTTTTAACGAGTTGTACAGGTTGAATCTGTTTTTTAAATATTAATTTTTTTGTTTGTTTGTTTGTTGTGACGATAAAGGTGCTTTCGTCTCTATTTGCATAGTTGTTTATGAGGCTGGCAATGTGTCAATGCTTCCCATTGTATGCCCCTCCTCTAGAGAGAAATCTCGTTTCAGAGGAAGGAAATGAAGTGGCTTCATAAAAATGAACGAACGAAACTCAAATTATGATGCATATTATAGTTGCAATTATGAATTTTTCTGACTAAGTATTATAGTCAAGGACGAATTCATTTTTCTGACTACTATTTCCAACTGAAGGCGTCCTTCACCACTCAATTTTCTAGATTGTTCGTTTTTAGAAAATGCAGAATTATTCAGTTTATCATTTCCCCTCTGGAAAGTCGGTTTGCATGTTGAGGTATTTCCAATCTAGGCTGTTGCAGGTGCACAATTCTACCATTGTGTTTTAATCAAATTTTGCGCAGCAAAATGTGTGCAGTTTTAAATGACTCATTATTGGAGGAACAGCACAGACCACAACCACTCTTAGATAGGTTGCGTATAGCATTTTGACATGTTAATGTGTAACGTTCTTTCTGGTTCTGGTGTAACGAAAATTTTGTCCTCTTGAAGCTGCTGTTGCTCTTTTTTTTTTTTTTTTTTTTTTTTTTTTTTCGTGGGTTAGCACTGAAAAAATGAGCTTGGTTTTGATGTCGTTGGACCTCGACTCCACTCTACATTTTTTTGCAGTAAGTAGAGGCTCGCAAGATTCAAGCAGAAGACCGTCATTTCTGAAGGTTACTGTCGACAAGATCATTCAGCGAAAAAAGGCCTTGCCTATTAATATCAAGATAAAACCTGGGGTATGATACTCATGACAACTCATGATAGAGCTCATGAGGATCCTCGGCTAAAGGCAGATTGGACACAACTCTCCTAAACATTTTGCTGGATAGAGGCAAAAAATGAAGTTAAGAGATTCAACACAAGGTAAAGAGCCAGAGATGGCTACTGTTTGCGGTATATACCTTGTACGTTTTTTGTTGGGATATTTGTCTGAAGGCAAGCACCAAATGCTTGTTAGATTTACTAATATATATATATATATATATATTAGATTAATTAGTACATATTAGCAAATGTAGAATTACCTTTAGGTAGTTACAAAGTAGTTATGGAGAAGTTACAACTACTTCTTTCCATAAGAGAATATAAAAGCTATTATGAATATGATGTAATCAAGTTATTTTTAATATACTTTATGCTTTATTTTATCATTGTTAGTATTCTTTCTCTTACATAGTATCAGAGCACTAATTGTCATTCATTTTCTTTAGTATAAGTAGAAAACTCCACCTACTATGGCTTCTTATAATTCTTATCATATTCTATTAATACTCTTATTTTTTACAAATAACTATTGCACTTACATTATTAAATTTGAGGCCTTCTTAAGTTGAGTAGAATTATGGAGAGAAGTAAATGACTCTGAGGTTGCACTTGATATATTTAATTCAATGCAACATCATGCCTAGAGTTTGAAGGATGTCAAAGTCGATGTAGAAATACTTTTACATTGTGGAAATAAGCAACTTATAATATTAAAATTACCTATATCAAAGGGAGTTTGAGATTACATCAAGCATACTTATAAACAATCAAATAAAGCTTCTTAGATACATTTTCATAAGCAGCTTTGTCATTTAACCATGGACAATAATGAAGATGTTCATGCATTCATAGAAAATTGGCAATATATCCTTAAGAAAGCTGCCATTTCTAGCTATGTTTTCATTGAATCATAATAAGTCAATTTATTATTAGCTATTTTTTTTGATTCATAGAATGCATTCATTACAATCCAAAGTGAAATTAATGATTTAATCTTTTCAATATTATTATCTAATATATTATAAAAAATAATAATTAATTATTTAAAATATAATAATTCTAAAATTATTATATTTTATATAAAAAGAAAATTTATTCAAAATAATAGATTCTCATATATTCCAAAATCAAGTGATAACTCTCCTTGGCAACATTATGCTGAATCATCTTATGCTTTACATTCCAATCTACCAACTTAAAATATAATTACCATTACTATGAGAAACAAGGATACAAATCTCTAAAATATCATTAGAAACAAAGAAATTGATGAACAAATCAAAACCTGTAAGATCCTATGTTATTGAAGTACTATTATATTTATTTACAGTAATATCTATTAATATTCTTAATGAATTGTGATATTTAGATTTGAATCAAGAATCACATGTCTCTTTTGAGAGACCTTTTCAATAATTATACTCTACTCACTACACTAAAACTTATTTTATTAGAAGATAATAATTCTCATATTGCTCAAGGTATTGGATCTATCATTTTGTAACTCAAATTTGGTCAATACATATAAATTTTTGATATCTTATATGTTCTAGGATTAAAAAAGAATCTTCTATCAATGGCTCAAATTACTAAAATTGAATACACAAAAA